GATGACGACATGGTGATCGCGACATTACGATGGCGACATGATGCTCACGACATTACGATGACAACATGATTGGATTCACTAAACAATCCTGGCCTGACCAGTGTCTCACGTGCACTAAAAGTGCACAAAGACAAATGCCGCGGCTGTCGCAAGCTTAGTGACGCTTTCGAGCGACCTCTGTGGGAGGACTAAACAAGCTGAGGTGCCTTCATGCTCACTGCCAAGCCTTCAGCCACAACCCCGCGAACAATAAACACGCAACACCTACTCTAGATCTCAAGCCTTGGACCCGTCCTAAACTTTGCTAAGCTCTAAACCCCCAAAATCGCATAAAATCAAGTCTGTCGGTAAACTCTGTCTTTCTCCACGTGTGCGAAGTACTGCGAATACCAGTAAATTGGCTACTCTTTTGCAAATACACCGTGAAACGCAGTGTTTTCCTGATGTGCTGAAGTACAAACCCGCACTTGCACCCGACAAGACCTCCAGTTGTTGCATGTTTTCTTGCAGGCAGCAGCAGACGAAGCCTGTAACTTCGAAACACAACATAAAACATCATAAAACCACGACTATCGGGATTCTTTGTGTCTGTCGAGGTGTACGAAGTACTGTAAATATCAATGAATGCGGTGCCCTCTTGCAAATACACCATGGAACCCAGGCGTTTCGTCATGTTTTCCAATCTTACTGCGCACTCACACATGACAAAACCATGAGTTTTTGCATGTTTTCGTTGTTTGACGTGTGCCTGAACCTTGCTTGCTAACATCTTCGAGCGCGTACTTCCCAGCTATAAGCACTCGCGAAGACAACATGTTCCGAGTAGCGTAGCTATGTTGCGTAAGAGAAAATCTAGTGGTATTTGCGGTACTTTCGAGCTCTTGCAACAAGTTTTTCTGTTATACCGCAGAACCCCCAGGGACTTCTTGCCACTTGTGACTACTCATCAGTCAGCTACATTGTTGCAAACGATTGTGACAAGCGCCGGTTGGCTTGGCGGCAGCGATGCCGAAACCACAATACCAGTGCTGCTGTTGGTGGAACGACAAGACAGTTTCCTGGCCAGAGCTTTCCTGTCACAGATGCGGTTACTTTTGAGACTGCCAGCACCGGCTTATCAGTTGCACAGCACAGTGGAGTGGGGTTACTAGCGTTACATAAGACTGGAGGACGCAAGCTGGTGGCCCAACGGGGAAAAAGAAGATGCATAGCTTGTTGCAGAGAGCATCCCAGTGGACATCATCGTAAGGGCTGCATTATGGACTGTACAGATTGCCGCGGCCTGTAAAGCTCGGATTCGCGGAGGTCACATAGATTAGGTTGTCTTTGCAGGGCTTTGTACATGACACACTTCGGATTCAGGTGAGAGCGAGTGGTGAAATCTTGGTGGGGAGTGGGGCAGAAACAGCAAGGATTCAAACGTACTTCTCCACGCAATGTTTGCAGGTCTTGAGGTTCAAGTCGCAGTAGGAAGCAAATTTTGCAAAATAGATACGGAGACATTGCAGGACGAATATTGCAAGAGAACACATAGGTTAGATTTCAACGAGTCACGAGTTTTCAACGAGTCACGAGTGTAGCTAGCATCATGCGAGGCGCAATTTCAAGACTCGTTCCTGTCTAATTAGGACTTGCATTGGCTATATCAACCTATGCTGGTGTGCTGCATAAACATCATGTGCAAGTGAGCATAACTGATCGCAACTACATCCTCGGTAACTTGACGGTCGGGGCTTGTCGCGTGGTACCGCTACGCCACCATCGTCGAGGATCGTGTTCTTTACAAGTTTCTCGTGCAATGCCATCACTGATCTGGGGGTTTCTTACATATTTACAATGTGTAGCATAAGTCATGTGTGTGTACATGGGCTTGTGTACGTTTGCAGCAGGACTCCATGATGCAATGACGCAAAACAATAGCTGAAGTACATGATGAATGCATAAGCAATCAGGCAGGGCCTTGCTCTTCTTACAAGTCTGCCTATGGTTACTCCGAAGGTTAAGCCCGGATTGCAAGAATCCTGATGCGGCGCCAGGATACAGGAATTTGTTGAGCTTGGTGTCGATGCGAACCTTGTGCGCAAACGGTTGGTACACTACAACGTTTGACCTGCCAGCTGTCCGGGTTCTGGGCAGTTTGAGGCTAAACGCACCAACATCGTTTTGACTGCCGGCGTCAGTACAACTGCTTGTGCAAGTCTATCCCCGTAAGTTGATGGTGGTGATGCAGGCACTATCAGATCTGCCAATCGGCTGCGAGTCCAGGTTGGAAGGATATGATGAAGACCACCCCCAACAACTAATGGACTTGGGGGGTGCAACCCTTTAAGTACATTGTTCGTTGCCGTGCGTTGCTCAGTGGAATGTCAAACGCAAAACACATGTATCGGGATCCCTACTTGGCCCATAGGAACAGCCGGAGATGTACTTCGAACCCCCAGACATCGATGTAACACCGGCCTCCAAGTACATTAGGTCAGGGAGGGACGGTATTGTGAAGCACTGCGCTTGCGGCTATCTTGAAGGGCTCTGGATTTGAAGGGTAATGCAGCCGGCAGACATCCTTGGTCATCATCACCTTGTTGGCAAACTGGCGAACCACCCGTACGGCTCGAGGGGCACGCTTCTTGAAGGAGATCTGCGAGAGGTTAGATTGTGACTGGATCAAGATTCCAAGGAGGTGCAAGAACGCCTTGTCCGAAATCCCAATTCTTTCCCATGTTGCTTGTATGCCGTCCGGTTCTACCACTTTAGGCTGCATGCGATCTTCAGGTCGGAAGTGTATCCACTGGAAGACAGTTCGCTTCAATGGACTCCCTCCAGTTTACGCCGGTTGCGGCGTCATCAGGTGCAGAAGCAATTGTCATGATCGTATGCGCAGCCGTGCGGCTCTACCGAAAAACGTTAAACTGAGCTTTCAACTATCTGTGCCTCTGCGCTCTAACAAGCACCTCTGACGAACTATCTCAACAGAGCTGCCTGAGCCGATCGATCTACCTGTCTGCGAATATCATACCTGTAGCAATCTATCATGTATCTACCTACCTACCTACCTACCTACCTACCTACCTATCTATCTATCTATCTATCTATCGCACATCGATGTGTGTCTATATCCATATCTATGCCTATATGTCTGTCTCGAACTATATCTGTATCTCTATCTGTATCTACCTATATCTGTATCTGCATCTACATCGGTATCTGTGTATGTGCCTAAAGCGGTGTCTTTACATGTATATCTATATCTATATATGTATTTGTGTCAGTATCTGTATCTCTATAGGTTCTATACACTGTATCTATATGAACCTAGATCTGCCTATGCACACACTTTGAAGTTCATATCGGCGCACATGCACAAACACACACACACACACAACCCACACACACACACGCAGACAGACACACAGACACAGAGACA